CCGCCTGCTTTGTCGGGCATCCCCTCGCCGCGCACACGGGGAAGACGACGCCGCCGGCGTGTGGGGAGGAGGGGTGCGGATGCCGCCGCTTTCGCTACATCCCGAACGACCCGGAGGAGATTGGGGAAGGCTGGATTCGCCGCCGCGTCAAGGGGGACCTGGTGGGGTGGTCGCCTAGCTGCCGCTGCGGGCACGGGAGCCTGGCGCACGCTTCTGTCAAGGGAGGGGGGTGCCAACAGGAGGGCTGCATCTGCCGACACTTCGTGGGGCGCTTTTGCTGCGTGGTTTGCGATCTGCCGTGGGAGGCGCACGAGACGGTGTTCGAAAGCGAGTCCGAGCGGCGGCGGGAGGGCCGGCCGGTCGGCCTTGAATACTTCCCACTCGTGGATATAGACTGGGCCGTCCGAGAGGCGGTCCTGGATGATCCCACAGGTGGTGGGGCACTTCAACCCCCCCCGTCATCCCACCGCACTTTGCGGGGTCCGAAAAATACAACCTAACATGCTTCTTCCTCGACGGCTACGTCTTTTCGAGAAGGCAGCACCTGCATGAGTGGGTGGGGATGAAATATCCTACTTACCCCTATAGCACCCCAAGGATACGCTGGGTTGGGAGGGCATAGTTAAATGACCTCTCGGTGGGGGATAAGAAAAGAACTGTATCCGATGGTATTCCAGCTTAGCATCGTTGTGTAGGTCTTCCGTTGCATCCTCACTGGGTGTTCTTAAAATATTGATAAGCTTCTCTGCTGGGCACTTTTTACATTGTGGATATAGTCACACATGCTTATATCATTTGATTTTATTATTTTTCAGTTATGTAAACCAAGCAAAAACTCTCCATTGAGAAATAATACCTAAAGTATTTTTTTTCATTTTTTCTGATAGTTGCAGTTTTAAATTTACACTTCATTATTAAAGTTTTTATTGTATCATCCAATTCACTTGATCCTATAGAACATTTTCGTTTTGAGTTCTCTTGGGAACTAATAGTGCTTTCTGCTCTGTCTGCCGCTGTTGCAAGTATCCTTTTTTTTTTAATTGTATCTTTATATATATATATTTATTTATTGATTATAGATCGTTAAGGGATAAACTTATGCTTCCTGTTAGAATTCTTAGGAGTGGTATTCGTCGGGTGTCAACATACTATGGTGGATTTCAAACCACTAATTTGAAGTTGCTCAACTCATTCTGCGCGGACCTTCCCTCTTCGTACGCCGTGGCGTCGATCGTATTTTCCCAAAAACGATACGCGAGTTCCAAGAATCCTTATGCCGTTCTCGGCATCAAACAGGGAGCCTCTAAGGTAGAAGTAAAGAAAGCATATCGAGTCATGGCCCGAAAGCATCACCCCGATGCCCCTGGCGGTAGCCACGAGAAATTCCAAGAGATTCAGGCGGCCTACGAGCAGGTGAAGACCGGCATGTGGATCCAAAAGAGTGAGGATGGCAGCCCCACGAGTGGTGGGGGTGATGGTGTTAGTGGTGGCAACCGGTATAGCGGTTTTCATTACACCACTCGTACGCACAGCCGAAGCAAGGTCAGCTACGACGAGTTTTATACAGAAATGCACACCGGCAAGGTCAAGAAAAATCCCTTCGAAGACGACGACGAAGAGGAAATGGCACGCAAGGACCCTCGCAGATCCCCCTTTGAACTTAACGAGATCGCTTTTCAGGCGTGGCTGCGTTTCATTATCGTGTGGTGCCTGCTGTTCACAACTCTTCGTATTGGACTTTTTCTTTTGTTTCCGCCTCAGTGGGAGAAGCCAAATCGTAAGCCTCCCCCTAAGGAACTCCGAAAGAAACCACCACCGCCAAAGCCCATTGTTCATGCGAACACGCCATTAGTTTCCTAAGCTATACAATGAATTTCTGCTCCTTTTCTGTTATTTTTAAGGACGAGATACTATTTATGTATATGTCAATATGCATACAAAGGTGTGATTAGCCTCAAAATATACAGGCAGTGCGGGGTATGTGTATGTGGGAGATGGTTGAGGTGGAAAAGGGGATGAGACGTGAATTACTCGGTAGCGTGAAAATGGGCTTCAGTACCTTTGGTCTTTCTTATCTCCCTTTCTTGGTTGATTTTTGCGCGAGTTATTATTGCTTTGAATTTTCTAAAAATCTCTCTCTTGAAAACATGGGGGTGGAAAATAGTAGCGCACATCGTAGCGGCTCTTCCTGTGCTACCTTTAGTGGCTCCTTTTATCAGGAAGTTACAAGCTTTTCATCACCTCCACGCCTCCCCCCTTCCCCCTCCCCCTCAAAAAAAAACAGAAACTACATTTGAATAAATCTTAAATCGAGCTTCTTCGTTTTAACTTCCGCTTAACAAGCACGACCTGATTCCTTGTATTTCCTTCTTCTGTGTTGACAGCAGTAGACAAATCGAGTAATATTCATGACTGTAGGCCTCCACAGCGTGAAGAGACCCCAGTTATCTGCTCTACTGGGTAATTTTAAGAGCGGGTTTGTTTTGCTTCGATTATCTATTGTTGCGTTCAATAGGTCATAAGAAAATGTAGCATACACAAACACCAATGAAGCAAGTTGCTTGTTATTTGTTTATTAATAAATAATAAACTGTATGAGGAGAAAAAGTATAATGAAAGGAGAGAAGGCACATGCTTTATGTGCTGACGTTGATGATGATATTATTTTTCTCGTAACGTATGCATTTATTTCTATTTATCCTATCATGTTAATGCACTTTAACTTGCTTTATTTCTCTTTCACTTTTACATTACTGATGTTTCTTTTTTTCCTCTTCTTCCTCAGAAATTACTACTGTACAGTATAGTAGTGTTCAAAGGAACTGTGAATTGACCGGTCACGCATTTGCAAGTTCTAGGGGTTCTCTCTTCGTTGGAGGGAGAAAACGGTCGATCACAATTTAATCTCTTTATTGTGATTAAAAGTACCCTCTCTCCTTCCCAATTAATCCAAAAATCGAATCAAAATATTAGTAAATTATTTTAAAAAATAATCTGTCAACTCATGCTCCGACGGACCCCCGTGTTTGCAGCTGCGGAGTTCAAGCAAAAATCACGATGGATGCATGTTTGGCCTAATATGCACTATGGGGCGATGTATTTGAACTACAGCGTCGGCCGGCAACTGCCGATGCGGAGTGTGAACTGGGTCACGCGGGAATCGAACCGGCTGACGAACTTCGCTCAGCGCTACGCCGCGGTCCTGAAAGACCTCGACGTCCCCAAAAACGAGGAGGCGCTTCACATCCCGCTGGAGGATATCCGCTGGAACGACCACCGCCGGATTTACTGGCGCTGTTCGTTTTGTGGGTCTTCGTATCGCAAAAATGTCTCGGTGCGCACCAAATTTCACGCTGGGTGCAGCCGATGTAAGGGAAAAAACCCATCCGAGGTGCTCCAGGAGCAGGCCCTGGGGGGTACCCTCGGGGATACGCATCCCGACCTCGCCGCGCAGCTCGTCGAGGATGGAAAGTCGGATCACATCGCGAGCCTGCGCGAGACCAGCAAATTTCAGGCCGATTGGATTTGTCAAAACTGCGGGGAGACCTACCGCGCGACGATTCGAAGCCGCACGGGGAAGATCGAGCCCGGGCAATGCCCTTTGCACCCATCGATCCGGGAGTGGTCCGCCTACTGCCCGGCGTGCACCTGGGAGCGGAATATGGAACCTCTTGGGAAGTTGATTCTCCGCGAGGGGCAATACTTAGGGCTTGGTGAAATTTTCCCCGATGCTTCTTTAACGGAGACGGCTAAGCCAGAGACAATTCCGAGGCGAAGAAAACTTTTGGCATAGCGGGGTGGGGTGAGTTTTCTGATGCCCTCTTCGTTTTAGAGGAGCGTGGTTTGGCGCTCTTTTTGCTGTTTTTGAATCGTTTTCTTTTTTTCAAGGGGGACTCAGTGATATATTTTTTCCTGTTTATTCCTAGGTATCTTAACCAAAACATATTTTTATTTTTTTCTCATTTCGTTTTCATCTACCTTAGTATTAGTACAGCAAAAAAAAAACGGTTTAGAATGTTAGGAAATCGTTTTTACCAAAAATTTTATCTCCAGTGTGGCCGCTGTAAGGGAATTCAGAGGGCTGCGCAGGGGTATCGACCGATTCCCAATCCCATTCTCTTTGATTCCGACGAACACTGCCGTAGTTATCACAACGAACAGCGTCGCGCGAAGGGCTTTATCGGTATGCGCGTATCTTGTCGGTGTGATGTATGCCACCATATGCATTCGGATTGGACGGTGTTAGATGCACAGAAGTTTATCGATATCAAACTCAAGATGAGCCCCGAGGATCGTCATCGTTTGTTATGGAAAACAGAAAATGATGGGGTACGCTAATAAGTATCGTTGTGAACTCAAACAAAAGGTGTGTCGAATTCGAAAACTTTGCGTAGGTGTGGCTGGATTGTATATGAAAAGAATTCTTGTTTGTATCGTATACTGTCATCACTTTTGGTATATTAGAGTGTTGTAAATCTCAAAGCACATCGAAATTATGATAAAATTCCACACAATTTATAGTATATGGCATGCATTTCTCTATATTTCTTTATGCCTTAAGATAACTCCTTATATATATATCCATTAGTTTGCCTACATCACATAAGATTGCCAGTGAAACAGGCCAGAGTCTACCTTAAGATATTATAGAAATTAAACATCTACACTAAGTTTTCTCCGATACCCAAGTCAATCGGATCAGCAGTCTAACCCAACACCGTATTTAACGTCGGGGACCTCATTACATACCTTTTCCTTTCCCTTGGTATCATTCAGTATTGCTGTGGCTGAGTCGGGTTTATTCTACCAGGATGATTCATCATAACCACGACTTCCCCATGCAAGTGGGGGTAAATTTTGCACGACATTTCTACACCATCCTCGTGCAGGAGCCGGAGAAACTCCTCAATTTCTACAGCCCCGCGTCCAGACAGGATCCGGTCGAGCAAAATGCCCACGCAAAGCCCCTCGATACGATGACGGTGATGCTTTCCGACAAGGCCCTGAAGCCGGAGGCCGTAAAAATTATGCAAGTGGACGCGGCCTACACACCTGAGAAGACGCTCCTTCTGAACATCCAGGGGTGGCTGTGCATCCCCGATCCGAAAGCGACACTGGAGGCCCCCAAAGCGCCCCACGAGTGGTCTTTTACGCAGACGGTGGAGCTGATGGAAATTCAGCCTGAATTCTTTGCGATAGTAAGGGATGAGTTCGTTTTCGTCCCTGACGAGGTGCCCGCTTGTCAGCCGCAGCAAGGAGGCCCAAACCCGCTCTGGGAGCTCGGAACCCCGCCGATGTTTTCGAACCCCACCGAGGAGGGCGAATTGGCAAATCTTCAGCAGCCCCACACCACCACGGCAGAAAATACAGAAAAGACGGATAGAGAGGAAAATATGGATAAGGAAGAAAAGATGGACAGGGAAGAAAAGACAGAGCCGGAGGCGCCTCTCAGCTTTGCCTCGCGTCTACGCAACAGCACAGCGGGGACGACGGCGCCTTCGGCAAAGGCCGCGATGGAAGGCTGCGTAGTCGTCGTGGCCAAGTCGACTGAGCGCCCCGCAAAAACGTCCGTGAAGACGCCCACAAAGACCTCTGTGAAGGCGCCCGCGAAAATGTCCGTGAAAACGTTAGAGAAGACGTCCGTAAAGACACCTGTGAAGACACCTACGAAGACGTCCGTGAAGGGGTCCACGAAAATATCTGCGGAGACGTCTGTGAAGACATCCGTGAAGACGCCAGAGAAAAAGTCCGTGAAGTCACCCACGAAGCCATCCGTGAAGACGCCAGAGAAAACGTCCGTGAAGTCACCCACGAAGCCATCCGTGAAGGCATCAGAGAAAAAGTCCGTGAAAACTTTAGCGAATACATCCATGAAGACGCCTGCAAAAACGTCCGAAAAGACGCCCGCAAGCACGGCCGCGCAGGGAAAAGTCAAAAGCGGGGGAGTCGTCGCTAAGAAGCCCGAAGGCTCCAATGCTTCGGCGAAAGCAAAGACAAGTGCTCCAATTTCCTCTCATGCGTCGTAGCCAAATTGGCTATTGAATTTAAAGGCAAGCAACAAAATAATAACTGCAGTAAAGAGGGATGATAGTATATGTTCCTTTTTGTGAACCCAAATGGGTAGGGATATAAAGCAATGAACAGATCTATGCGGATGAAGAGGCGTGAATGTTCCCTATCCTCAAACTGTGAGATGTGGGGGAGGGATGTGTGAAATATTGGACCGTACGCGTGTGATTGCTAGTTGAATATCGTTTTCGGTCGTGCGATACAACTTAGCATGATGATACAAGAAAAACAAAGAAAGTTTCAACGGTGCTTTCTTCTGTCTCCCTCGTTAGAGAAAGGGAAATGTTTTTTTTGTTTTTTTCTAATATTTCTGCTTTTCTGAGGAGATTATTCTAAGTCATGTTCAAGTGTTGCGCATCCTATGGTATCCAATACTACAATAACAAAACGTGTAATTTAATAGTATAGGTACACACATAAAAAAGGACTAAACACTAAAAGGATAATCACTAAATTAACCTTTTACAATAATCTTCTTTGTTCTAAATTGCGAACCTAATAATATGCAAATGAATATACTTATGTCTTCATCAAACTTCACTGCACGGATTTAGTTTCATTTCTCCACTTTATCATTATTGTTGGCGTTTTAGCAGATTTTCCCAAGTTAAACGCTCCAATCCTCCTCCTCGGCGTTGTGGCGAACGTTTCCAGGGTCACAAAGTCATATCCATACTTAGCAGTGACACCGATGGTAAAGGGGTGGGTGTGAGATGACGAAAAACCTTGTAATTGGGTTTACCGGCACCATCGCCAGTGGAAAGACGGTGCGCTGCCATCGCCTGTTACAAATCGCCATCAGACATCAACTTGACGCCCTCGACGCGACGCCGCCAGGTGTGGGGACGTGGCAGTTGTCGCGGGAGGAGGCCGTGCAGTTGGCGTCCTCGGACGTAGCGTGTGACACCCCCTTGACCGCATGTCAAGCTCGGTACCTGCCGCTGTTACGGAATAGCACGCTGCGTGTGGGATATCTCAACGCGGATCTCCTGGGGCATACGGTCTACTTGCCCGGAACCCTTTGCTACGATCAACTGATTCGACACTTCGGTGAGGCCATCCTCACGCGGGGTGCGGCACAGAGCAGGGATGATGACCATTCCCCATCCAGCGCTAACGATAATCTCAGGAAGACGAGAAACGCGACACCATCAGGCCCCGAGGCTGGGAGCTTTTCCGCCCCACTGATCGACCGTCGCGTGTTGGGACGAATCGTCTTTGCGGATCGGTCGCAGCTCTCCGCGCTCAACACAATTTGCCGCCCGCACCTCGTGGAGGCCTTTCGCACGCGGCACCATGCCTTCGTCGGGGCCTCCGCGAAGGCCGGCAAACGGGTAAGCTTGCTCATCCTTGAGGCTGCTCTTCTTTTGGAGATGGCAGCGATGCTGCATAGCTGCACAGAGGTTTGGATCACGAGCTGCAGCGTGGCGGTGGCAACGTCGCGGCTTTGCCTTCGAAACAGCCTCACGGATGCCGAGGCCACGCAGCGCATCGCCGCGCAGGCGACTCTCACTGAGAAGCTGAAGACCTTTCGTCGGATGGGATTGGCTGGTGGGTTGAGACACTTTGATACGTCCGAGACGACCCTGGAGGAAGGTCTGCGGCAGGTGGATGTGGCGTTTGAAGATTACTGGCGGGATAAAATTAAGCCGTGTCTCTAGGGTAAGGGATGACACCAAAAGACGAGCCTGTTCTGTGATTCTTTTCGGATTGTTATGCTCTTCGGACACTTTGATTTTTAATTTACCATCTGTGTTTCCGAAGTCTAACCATAAAGCATATTTTTTAAAAATAGACAATTGCAGTGACACCAATAAACATGTGGTCTTCGTTTATCTAAAACTCACCAATCAAGATAAAAACAGGCAATTTCAACCACTTTCACCCTCCTAAAAGACAATAATAGAAGAATAAATGGGTTTTGTATTCTTTTTTTTTGTATGTTGATATCGGCTCCACATTTGGTGATCTTTTTAATCATATAAATTTTTTGTTCGCATATCTTAAAAAATCGAGTAAACGGTAAAAAAGATTTGAGACCATTGTTGAGTAGTTACACACATTTTCAGTACCCCCACCCCTTTTTCAGATGGAATATAAAAAAATGTTTATTTATTTATTCATGTGACCCTTTCGAGGTAGTAAACTGTTTAATCGCAAGCAAAATAGAGGAAGTGATTAATTCTTTCAAATGTGTTATTATAACCTTACCTTTTCCCTTATTCCATAAGTTTTACATTAACAAAAATAAGAAATCACTGTGTTAAATAAGTAAATTTTTGAACACAGTTACATATAAACCTATATAAAAATATACACACATATAGTTTTATTTATATTTAAAACAAGCACTCTCCTTGAGAGATCCCAAAAGATTTGATCTGTGCGATTTTAAAGTTCTCGATCTCCCGTGATTGATATCAAGACGTAAAAAGTGTTAACACATAGGGAAGGGGGATCGAAGCAGATAACCTCACTACCCATATTTTACGATGTCTCTCAACTACGCCGGTGCAGCAGACGCTAACAGCTTTCGTGAAATGGAAAAATTTACAGTTCAACGCATGGCAGGTCAGGGTACCTTTGGCACGGTTCAATTAGGACTGGAACGAGCTACTGGGACACCAGTAGCCATCAAAAAGGTTATTCAGGATCCTCGCTTCCGCAATCGTGAACTTCAAATTATGCAAGACCTCGCCACGCCTGGTCATCCGAATATTATTCAACTGCAGAGCTACTTCTACACCCGTGGGGAGCTTCAGCGCAACGACATCTATCTCAACGTCGTGATGGAGTACGTGCCCGATACCTTACACCGTTGCTGTCGGAACTACTACCGACGACAGGCCGTGCCGCCGTCGATTTTGATAAAATTATTAATGTACCAACTCCTGAGAAGCATCGCCTACCTCCACCTGCCCTCCGTGAACGTCTGTCATCGCGATATCAAACCCCATAATGTTCTTGTGAATGAGGCAACGGGAAGCCTAAAGCTGTGTGATTTTGGCAGCGCGAAGAAGTTATCACCTTCGGAGCCGAACGTGGCATATATCTGCTCGCGCTACTACCGCGCGCCGGAGCTTATTTTTGGCAATCAGCATTACACAACGGCAGTGGACATCTGGTCGGTAGGCTGTATATTCGGTGAGATGATGCTAGGTGAACCCATTTTCCGTGGGGAGAACAGCACTGACCAGCTGTACGAGATCGTGAAGATCCTTGGCTGCCCGACTCCTGAGGAGCTGCAGAAACTGAACCAAAATCGGTTAGACATACCCTTGCCCAATAGTCCTCATGTTCCATGGAGTGAAGTCTTTCGATATGCACACCCTCCCGAGGCGTATAATTTACTCGGAAAGCTCTTGCGATACCTGCCCGAGCAACGTTTGTCATCCTTCGAGGCACTTTGTCATCCGTATTTCGACGAGCTTCATGAGCCGACGACAAGGTTGCCAGGGAACAATGAACTGCCCCCGAATTTATTTCAATTTCTTCCTTGTGAAATAGAGGCTATGACGGGGAAGCAAAAGGACAAACTCCTTGGGGGTAAGAACGAGCATAGGAGCTAGCGAGAAAAGCAACTTGCAATAGAATGCATGTTATAACAACTCTATTTTTATCTTGATTTCCCAAATGAAATGAGGAGGCACCGAGCTAAATGACCTGCTACGGAATTTTTAGTGAGATTTGCATGGAGTATGGGGTCCTTTTGTTGATGGTACATAATTCCCTTACATTTCTTAAACTCTTTTTCTTTCCTAGTGTTCTGAATTTACTATTACTGTCCCACTGCAAAGCACATCTTCGTGTTTTTTCTTTTACGTTTTTCTCATTAAAGAATAAACATTATATTTTTCATTTTTACTCAATGAATGTATTTTAATTTTGTCTGCTAGTGCGGAGATGGGGTCGCTCTAAATCCAGTTTTATTTATCTTCACAAAGTTCAAGGATTTGTGGTTTCCATGTAGCCGCTTTCTTTTGATCTCATAGCATTTTTTTTCACATTTATTCCTTTATTTTGTATACTCAATATAAATTGGTACCCAAATGAATAAATGACATGCACATGCCATTGCTTAAGAAGGGAAAGATGTGAGAAGAAAGGAATGGGTAAATGAACAAATACTGAAGAAAATTGCGTATCTAAAAAAAAAAACAATCTGTTCTAGAGGAAGGGGTACACATACGATATTTATTGTAAATAATCATCCAGCCTTGGATGGTAAGTATAACAATAATGTCGTATTTATTTGAACTGTGATAAATTATTCTTAGATATAATAGCAACAAAAAAAACTGTTTTATTGAGCCAGTCTTTATTCACCTTCTAAACATGTGGAAGAGCGTCTTTGTGAGTACACCCTTTTCTTCGATTAGTTTAACAAATGTCTGTGTTTTGATGTGATAAGTTCACTTTTCATCTGGTTATTTCCTTTAGCAAGGAAAACGGAAATGTGACATTAAGAAGTGTTAGGAGCTGAGAATAAATTACTTGACAAACAGCGGTTCTTTTCATATTTGTCATAGAAATGTATTTTGTTGTGTAATGCACTAAGGTGAAATTGTGTATAGGTGTGTGCAGGGAGAAAAGAAGGGGAAATATCTTCACGAGTTACAAACGATTTCATCGGTTAATCCCCTTCTATATGGATATAACTATCTTTTTGTTGTTGAAACATGAAATGGGAAAAATGGTTCAAAGGGATTCAAGATGGATTAAAGCGCTGGATTTTTATGGATCTACACTAGTGGTGGAATTCTAACACCTAAAAGAATGATACTCATACTCTTTTCATTTTAGATATTACGAAATACATTAAAATACATAGCTGCAGTGTAGCTCCATATTAACCCACAAAAAAAAACTAAACGATTGTATCAAATCAAGTAAACCGCTTTTCAAAGTGTAAATGTGTTTAGGTGCTGTTCACAAAAAGGAAAAAATATTGAAGGTGTGATGTGAAATTTAATGAGAAAAATGCTTGTATTTTTTTATTGAACATTTCAAGTTCCTCAGACATGGTGCCCTTGTTTTGTAAGGAAATTTGATCCCCTCTCCTCACTCTCTTGACATTGAAAGTTGGAAATAGTAAAAGTGTCTTTTTTTTGTTGTTATTTTAATGACCCTCAATATGTGTCTTTGTAAGCCAAAGTTAGTGTCATATGTTAATCTATCATACTAATTTAAAAAAAAAATGATGCTAATTGCTGTGCTGACTCTATTCGACATTTCAGCACTTTTTTATTTCTACAACTTGTTCTATACTACTTTCACATTTAGATTAAAAAAATGATATAGCGCTAAGAAAAGCACGCACAAAGTAATGGAATTATTTCCTATTTACAATCCCGTCCTTTTGATTTCTACAGCGACGGGAAGCGAGCACGCGCCAAAATGCATCTTAAGGACTACTTAGAAAGAGGTAACTCCAAAGCGTTTTCAAAATTGTTTGTAGAAAAAAGGGAACTGAACACTTCGATATAATTTAACAATGAACTTTTTTATGTGTATACGTTGTAATAACGTTAACGTGCCGATAAATCGTGAAGGAAAGGAAACCAGAGTGCTTAAATGCATCCAAGTCTATATATAGAGTG